AGAAACAAAAATGTACAGTATGTAGAAAATAATGTGTTTTTTTAACCTTAAACCGCATTAACACATTTCATTACACCAAATACACAAAATAATGTTCTTTTTAGCAACATCATATGGCCCCTTTAATAAATATTACATACATAAATTAATAGTTTATATTGGAGAGAGCGAGAGAGAGAGAGATGAAATATGGGTTATCAGCACTGATCTATATATAATGTTCTCTATTATAGATCAGTGGTTATCAGTCATCATCGCGTCAGTGGGATAAGAGCATAATGGACACAGTGCTCGGTCTTATATAACCTCGGTGCTGATAGAGCCGGACACCGGTGACAGCAGCGGTGCCCTCGCAAGGCATCAAATTCATACATTATAACTGAGTCATTACAGAAAACGCATCTGTCCGATGTCTATCTGAAGCCTCTGCATTTTCATTTTTAATTGCAGCCCATATGTATATTCATATTTAATAATATTTCTAAAATTATGCACTGTACATAGTGCGAGGATTGAACTGGCGCTTGTATATTTTGCCTCTGACGCAATTCAAACATGGCAACGCGTTTGAGAGGAGAGGAGGGGCAGAAAATGGGGGCAAGAAAGTAATGCAATGCCGTTACGGGAACCGCGACCAAAAGTGCCATTAACACGTCTAAATGTGTCGTCTAAAGTTATCCAGATAACATAACATGTACATTATCAGTGTTTCGCGGTGTTTAAATGTTCAGCCGTTCGCACACTGCGGTGAAATGGTGCGTGTGTCCCGCCGTATTCACCGCCCACCAGCTCCCGCGGAAGCATGGCACGCCACACGGCATCTTTAAACAGACACATTCAGCATGTTTTCCCCGCAGTTTCACCGAAAACGACTTCCGCTTGGTGCGAGCAACTAATTGACGCGCTTTCTTTGATGCCAGCGGTGCTCATCGAAGAAAGACGGTTGAATTTAATCGAACTGCTCGTGCGCTGCTCTTTGTTTTCCGCGCGACTCTGCGTCAGTGGCTCGTGCGACTCCATGCTTTGCGCTCGAGACTGTAAACACATGCTGTCCGCGCAACAACTTCGCTCAAGAGCGTGGAGCCTAACAAAACACGCATTTGCGTGTTAATTTTCATCACGGGGCAATATAAGACACTTTTAAACAGTCCACCGGAATACTAAAATAAAATATCGATTTTTTTAAAGCTCCGCGTTTAAATGCGTCAGTGACACCGCCTCCATCACACATGCAATGAATCTTTTAACAGTAACACAGCTCTAATCGTTATATAAACGTTGAACTGCTTGAGTTGGTGAAGCAGAAGTTTAAAAACGTTGATGAGCGTGTGAAAATGCGGGTTTGTTTTGAAGCACACCCACCAACAGCCGAGTTAAGAGACCACACACCGTCAAGACGGACAGTTCAGTAGTACCACAAGTTCAGAACGAGAAGAAACGGCAAAACTGGGTTTCAATGCATGCATATAACACCAAGTATACATATAAATGAGAATGCATGTTCGCTAACATAGCTTTCACTATTATAGTTATCACCTAGGCTAGATCAACCAGTCCACGAATGCAAATTGTTTAATTTAAAATGCAACCTTTACCATTTCTGTCAAAACACTCGTCTGAAACGCATTTTTGTGTACGTCTGTTCGGATAAGTGTAATAGAAATCTATTTCGGCTTCAAATGAATCAATTCTGTTATCAAACACTTAACAGCGATCATCGGCAAAGGATGCGAGTCCTAAAATGTGATGCGCTGTATGGGCAGCAGCCTCCTCAAGTGTAAACTCTAAACTTATCGCACGCTTTTAGACTGAAGCAAAAATGTAAAACAATTTCAACAAGCCTTAAAAGTTATCTTACTGCTACATTTCTAATGAATGCGACAGCTTTCACCCGGGCATCGCACTGTCACGCAACTTCTTAAGGGGGCCTTTCGAAAGGCGCACACAAAAACTGTTGTTACTTTTAAGAAAAAGACCTTTTTTCTTACCTCGACTTGGAGCAGTTAAAGTCAAACCACACAGCGAAATCCAAGAGTTACAGGCGTTACTCATTTAACAATGCGCCACTCGTTACTGTCTCACTTTCTGAGTATAGTAAATGTTTACGCATGCGCCGAGCTCCATCCACCATTTTCTGAATTTCTTCAATCAACCTCATTTGCATACGCGGCTGACGTTTGACTGCGTCTGCATTCTATTGCCCATATAAGGAAGATAAAATTACGCGGAAACGTGGGCGGGTCCGGTTGCTAGGGCAGCAGCCAGTGCACTGCTATCCCGGTGGGCGGAGTTACGCTCTACTACTACGAGGACAGCAGATGTCTGAACAAACGCAGCACGTCTTCCTCGCTTCGTGTCCGTCAGCCATGAGCACATGTCGGTACCTCCGGCTTCGGTACTTCATCATGGAAATAGTTCGAGAGAGCTGTTTTTGGGCTCTCTGTAGAATAAATTAAATAGGTTGATAGAGCTAAACGACATTAGACCTTATAAATGTAACATTTGTAACCAAAATTTAGATCGGTTTCGGGACAAAATCGTTTAATTCCCTCAATCATATTTATAGGGACAACTGGGAAATGTAATTTCTTTTAGTTTGTAGCTCCCTGTTTTTTCCCCCTCAAACTTTGATGTAATATTCCTATATTTGTTTGTTACAAATTAGAAAATTACATGTTAAACTGTAAATTAGTGTCAAATAAGTTGGCTATTAGTGCTTTTGTTTCACCACTAAACTGGATGGGTTATAATACTAATAGAAAACATGCACAATAGAACACATTTTAAATTTTGTGCATTAATTTATTGTGGTAGCCTAATCAACTTTACATTTTGTCTGAAATAACTTTTATGCCATCACGATCACTAACCCTAATTTCCTTTTTAGCTAGCCTACTATTTGTTATAATTATGTATTTTAAAAAAGGGTCAAGGTATAGGTAACACTTTCATTCAAAACCAGCAAATTAAATGGGAAGCCATACAGTAACTGTAATTTAACATTAATTTAGAATCACAAATCAAATTATAATACAGACATGTACTTTTACTTTCTGAACTTTTTGCCCTGTAAATGCTTTATATTTTTTACAGCTTCTACCTGGAGCTTCTCTCAGGAGCTTGGTGCTTATACTTTCTCAGGGGAAAAAAGGTACAAAATCGGTCACTGGGGTACTACATTTTCAAAAGATACTAATACCATACTAAGTAGACTGTAGGTAATATGTAATTTTAAGGTAGGCCTACTAAAATGCACTCTTTATGGGTAAATAAGGTACAAAAGTGTAGGCTACTTTTTAAAAAAGGTACTGCCCCAGTGACTGCTTTTGTACCTTTTTTATGAATGAACAAGCTAATTTGTAACTGGTTAAAACTGTCATGTTGCAACACTCCCATTTCTGAGAAATCTCAGGTTTCTACTATAAAAACACATAATTTATGCTGATGCCTATGAGACAGTGCAGAACGTTTGTTTCACAGATGCCATCAGCACGTCCCTAAACTAAAAATAATGTTCCGTGAAGAATGACTCTTCATAGAGGAATGTTCTCTAGGACCTAAGCGCTGTCCTGGAATACAATTCATGCCTACCGCATCTTAAAATAATGTCCCATCTGCACACACCGTTCACAAGATGACAAAAAAAGTTCAGAGAGGACCCAAATATGGATGAAGCGAGTAATTTTAATATGTTGCTTTACAAATATAAACATGGAGGATTCAACTCATTTTAGACAAGGAGCTTTTTATAACACAATGTTTGAAAGCTTTCATTACAGGAAAAAAAAAACAGATGGAATGAGGCAAGATCTAGAAGAGGAACAAATTCATTTACAGCAACAGTACTTCTCCCAGATCTAAAACACGTTGCATGCATCAGCACCGCAAGCAAAGGGACAGTTCCTGTGGGTTCCTCATCCCTCCAGCGAGAGGATTCTCTGAGATTTCAGCAACTTTTGGGGTCTAAAACAATGTCGACTTTTACACAAGATGGACATTCCATACTATACAAAGCTTGAAAGCAGATTTACTAAAATAAATAAATGATCCAGTGTCAGCTTACTGCATAAGTCACCCCAAGATAGCATCAATACAAAATCAACCAGTCACAAAAGCATCATCCTAAAATAAATACATACGAATAATCCAAGTCATTATAAAAAAGAAAGAAATAAAATACACAGGTTGACGTGCTACCATACACAGCCCTTAGATTAAATGCAGAGAGTCTTAAAAACCAAAACGTAAGTAGCATTAAGTGATTCAAAGCGGTTATTCATCCTGTAACAACTGTTTATCTGGAAATTCTACTTTTCTCTCAGCAGGGTTTCCGTATTAAAACTGATGCACAAAAGAACAAACATCAAGGGTGATTTAAGGACAATAATTCTTAATTTCTAAGCAACGTGCAAGTACTGCAGTAATCAAACATGGATTTACAAAGTAATTGCTGCATTTAGACCTTCAATTAGTGGTAAATACTAGGGTTTAAACTTTTTATTTAAAGCACCCCCACAAGTAACTGTAAGAATTAAGATTTGAGAGATTTTAACTGTGATTAAGTTTAATGGCTAAAAAGAACGTGAAAGAAGCTTATTGCTTTACGTTGATTTCCAGTGTTTCTTTCTTAAAAGTAAAAAAAAAAAATCAAACATGATACTGAAGTATCTAAGAATGAAGTCAATACTCATTGGCAAAATAAACACATCTTCCCAAATGTTAATCTGATAAACAAGCCACACACACGCACATTACTATCACACATAAACACATCTTGTAACATACAACGATTCACATGTTGGAATGTCCTATTTCTCTGAAAATTCATTTGACAGGCTTTTAATCAGGAGAATGTTTCAAATTGACACCCTCAAGTTAGGACTATTCAAAATCAAGAATCTTTCTTTCAAACTGACAGCCAATCAGAACACTGATAGCACTGGTTTAAACACCCAGACATTGATTTACAGATAAAATTCAAGTCATTAGAAACACTTGATGTCTGAATTCCTCAAGTATAATCATTTTGCCTGTCAAATGATGGTTATTGAATGTGTTGGACATATAATCTTGTCAGTACTAAGGCTCCTCTGTATCTTGACATACTTTTGCAAAAAACAGTGCTTTCTAAAGACGACACATGATCTGAAGCAGAAATGCTAGCGGATTTGACTCGCAGACAGATGTGTACGAAAATGACCACAGGTTTGAAAGCAAAAAACTTACGTCTTCTCAATAAAGCCGTCAACGCTTTCCGTTAGAAAGAGCACAACTCCAAATACTGCTACAAAACACACTTCTGAGTTAATTTGTGTGGAGGTGCAGGAGTCAGTCATGTTGAGAGATGATTTGATAAGTCCTCAGTCATTCCCTGGTCAGCGAACACACAAGGCAGAGTCACTCGTAGAGCCGCTTTGGCCCTGAGGGTGGCAGCATGGGGAGCAGTCTCAATTTGACCTCAGCATGTGGAGTTACAGCTCAACGCTTTTCGTTAGAGAGCTCTCCAGTGTGATGGGGAAGTCATGCAGCGTTTCCAGAACTGCGATGAGAGAGCTGACGGTGAGTTTGTCTCGCAGTAACGCATTCTCCTCATACATGCGTGTGATGACGGGGCATTCGGCCAATAGAGGGAGCCACTGCGGCAATAATCGGTCTCTGTGAGAGTGGGATACATGTGCAGACAACTCATGAGTACATTTTGTTATTAAAAAACAAAATTAGTTTGCTTTTAAGAAGCATGTGTGTGTCCTCACCTCGCTCCGAGGCAAACTAGCAGCTGGAACTTGCCATCCTTGCCAATGTTGCGTGGCATATTGTTAATGGCGTTGACGTATCGACAGAAAGATTCACAATTCAGGCCTAGAGGCTCTGGTGTTTCTTGCAGGTCTCCAATCTGATCTGCATTCTCCACAAATGCTACTGCTTTCTCTGTACAACACACAGACGTTATAAACTTATGTTTTAAGTAGGGCTGTGCCAAAAATCGAATGCGATTTTCATGCGCATCTCGTCAGTAAAGCCGCTTCTGGTGATTAGTAGTAAATCTCCAGCACGTATACGTTCAGATGGAGCGGCATTTACTACACAGAGCCATAGTTCACTCACAAGCTACACGAAATCGGGAGATGTGCATGAAAATCGCATTCGATTTTTTGCACAGCCCTAGTTTTAAGCAACATATTTTATATATTTTAAGCAGCATAACAATGATAATAAAAATATTTGTTTTGTATCAAATATAAAAACAATACTAAATGTTTAATTGTCATTTTGAAGTACTGTTGGAGGACATAAGTGTAAATTAATTATTATAAATAGTTTACTTCAAATTTCTAAATATTTTATTCACAAAAGTCTTTAATGAGCCCTATATAATGAGGCTTTAAATGAGAAGTTATAAAGTTATACATTAAACATGATTAAACCGTTATTTAAGCCCCTCCAATATATAAATATAAACTGATAAAAAGTGATAGTAAAGACTTGTATTGTGAGGAAAGATTTCTATGCTGCTCTTTGTAACTTTTTTACTCATCAAAAAATCCTAAGAAATATATCAGTATATTAGAATGGTTTCTGAAGGATCATGTGACACTGAAGACTGGAGTAATGGCTTATGAAAATTCTGCTTTGCATCACAGGAACTAATATTTCACAATATTGCTGTTTTTTTCTGTATTTTTGATCAAATGCAACCTTGATGATCACAAGAAACGAATTTAAAAAAACATAAATCTTACTGATCCCAAACTTTTGAATGGCAGTGTGTGTGTGCATATATATATATATATATATATATATAATTT